CCAAAAAAAAAAAAAAAAAAAAAAAAAAAAGGCATTTGAGGAAGAAACACCAATTGTACAGAAACTGTTTCCAAAGAAAAAAGAAAAGAGAGATTTTCCAGTACATTTACAAAGCCAGTATATCCTTGATGCTAAAAGCACACAAGAATTTTACTGAAAAGGAAAAATACAAGCTAATTGCTCTGATTGCCAAAGATCAAAAAAAAAAAAAAAAAATTAAAAAGATACTGATGCTCAGACCTTTCCCTCAAATATTCTAATTTTAACTGATGGTGGGGAGACCTGGTTTTCGTTTTATATCATTTTAAAGTTCTTCAGATGATTCTAATGTATATTGTTGAAAAACCACCATCCTAAGCTTTAGGGTAAAATCAGGGAAGGAAATGAAAAAAAGCAAACTAAGTCAGTGATATTACTATCACATAAAATAGAATTAAAAAAAAATCCATAATGCACAGAGAGTGATAAATAATAGTCCCTAAAAGTTATAGTGATTGTGAACATGTTGCTGCCAACAATGTCAAAATATACAGATAAATAACCGACAAATAAATACAGGGAGAAACAGAAAAATCAACAATTATAGTTTGACATTTTCCTAGAAATTGTAGATCAAGTAGTCCAAAAATAGATGCAGATTTGAATAACATGATTAATAAATTCGATCTAACCGATGTAAAAATTATAGCCTAACATATATACAGGATGCTGTGGATTGACTGAACTGTGTCCCNAGGGCTGCGATCCCGTTGCCGGTCCCTGGTCCGGTACGGGGGCAACACTGAGGGTTGCGATCCGTTGCCGGACACGGAAAAAGACAAAAAAAAGACAAAAAAAAGACAAAAAAAAAGAGAGACTTTCCAGTACATTTACAAAGCCAGTATATCCTTGATGCTAAAAGCACACAAGAATTTTACTGAAAAGGAAAAATACAATCTAATTGCTCTGATTGCCAAAGATAAAAAAAAAAAAAAATTAAAAAGATACTGATGCTCAGACCTTTCCCTCAAATATTCTAATTTTAACTGATGGTGGGGAGACCTGGTTTTCGTTTTATATCATTTTAAAGTTCTTCAGATGATTCTAATGTATATTGTTGAAAAACTACCAGCCTAAGCTTTAGGGTAAAATCAGGGAAGGAAATGAAAAAAAGCAAACTAAGTCAGTGATATTACTATCACATAAAATAGAATTAAAAAAAAAAATCCCTAATGCACAGAGAGTGATAAATAATAGCCCCTAAAAGTTATAGTGATTGTGAACATGTTGCTGCCAACAATGTCAAAATATATAGATAAATAACCGACAAATAAATACAGGGAGAAACAGAAAAATCAACAATTATAGTTCGACATTTTCCTAAAAATTGTAGATCAAGTAGTCCAAAAATAGATGTAGATTTGAATAACATGATTAATAAATTCGATCTAACAGATGTAAAAATTATAGCCTAACATATATACAGGATGCTGTGGATTGACTGAACTGTGTCCCCCAAAGTTCATATATTAGAAGCTTAAGGGCCGGCCCGGTGGCGCACTGGAGAGTGCGCCGCTTGGGAGCGCAGTGGCACTCCGCCGAGGGTTTGGATCCCATGTGGAGACCGGTTCCCGCTCACTGGCTGAGCGTGGTGCGGGTGCGACACTGAGGGTTGCAATCCCGTTACTGGTCAGTAAAAAAAAGACAAAAAGGAAAAAATAAAAAAAGAAGCTTAATTCCCACTGTGACTGTTGAGGGTGGGAAATCCTCTTATAGTCATGGGAAGGTGAGGCCTTGAAGAGGTGATTAAGTTGATGGTTTAATGGTGGCTGTGGGTGTGGTTCTGAGGGCTTTAAAAGCAGAGCATGTGAGTCTATCCCTCCTTCTGCTCTACCATTTTCTGCCATGTGCGATCCCTGCACTGTTGTAAGCCATCACCAAAGAAGACCCTCATCAAATGTGTTCTCTGGACTTGACTTACCAACCCCAGAAACTGTAAGCAATAAATTTTGTTTTCTTATAAATCACCCAGTTCCACGTATTTTGTTATAAGCAACAGAAACGGACTAACACAGAGGACATATTTTTGAGCTCACATAGAACTTTCAACGACTTTCACAACTGACAAACTCCCAGGCTGCAAAGGGAGCTTTAATATTGTTAAGGAATCAGCATCAAACAGACTA